AGCCTGTAGCGCTGCAGGGGGTTGTTGTGGCCAAAGTGCAGGACCCGGCACTTGGCCTTGTTGAACTTCATCCCATTGGAGTCAGCCCATCTCTCCAGTCTATCCAGATCCCTCTGCAGAGCCCTCCTGCCTTCCGGCAGGTCGACACTCCCTCCCAACTTGGTGTCATCTGCAAATTTGCTGATGATAGACTCAATCCCCTCATCTAAATCATCGATAAAGATGTTAAACAGGACTGGGCCCAGCACTGACCCCTGGGGGACACCACTGGTGACCGGCCGCCAGCTGAATGCAGCCCCGTTCACCAGCACTCTCTGGGCCCGGCCCTCGAGCCAGTTCCTGACCCAGCACAGAGTGCCCCTGTCCAAGCCATGGGCTGCAGCTTTTCCAGGAGTATATTATGGGAGACAGTGTCAAAGGCTTTGCTGAAGTCCAGATAGACACATCCACAGCCTTCCCCTCATCCACCAGGTGGGTCACCTGATCGTAAAAGGAGATCAGGTTGGTCAAACCTGAAGAAGAGAAGAAAATCCTAAAGAATGATGGAAAACAGAATTCAAGGCTTTGAGAGCCTGGGCTTGAGCACCTACAGTACACTGTGGGAGTAAACGAGTCTCTGCTCTGTGGACGTCTCCAAGTACCTGCAAGGGAAGGAATGTTCCCACTGCATCTGGAGTTCCTCAGCATAGGGTTTAGCTGTACCTCTGCTCAGGGAAGATGTTGGAAGAACTGGTGTAGCCAAAACTAAGGCACGTGTGTTTTCTCCTTCCACCCTGTGTCCACATATAGGTGTCAGTGTTGTTGCACCTGAGGAAGAAAAGCCTGACTGTAAACTTTCATTTGCCAGCTATGTTCCTTCAGCAGTATCTTGGTTTGTTCATCTACCCAGCTGCTTTTTATTTTGTGAGTTGCTGCTAAAACCACTAGTCCACTCTCCTCTGATGCCTTCTGCTAGAAGGTTTGAAGAGACAACTGTTTTTGCTGTCAAGTTAGTATGTGCTAGCCTGAACGTATGGAGCCAAAATAGTGGTTCCCCACATCAGACACTGCATGTGAGCCAAGAGGGTTAGAGGAAGGTGCAAATAGTTTTTCCTCAGTTAACAGGAAAACTTCGGGGTTTGAGGTAGCTCCCCAGGGAAGCTGGATATCATTCCCTGCGGGTACTGGTGGACCTTAGCATCATCATCAAAATCATTAAAAGTTTTTCCTCCTCTCTTGAGATTAATCTGAAATGTAGGATTTAGAAGACCACTGAAAAAGCTTTCTGTGTTTACATAGGAGGTCCTGAGCTATAATATTCTTGACATTTGCTGGAAGCAGAATCACCTCTGAAGTATAAAAATAAATTAGGTTCCTCTTCCTTCAGTTATATTTTTATAATGCCTTACTCCAGTGTTCATCTAGGAATATATTGGTAATTACTGATATTACTAATATTATAAGGAAATTTTAAAATCTCTTGAGTAGTTGCATGAATAAAGCCGTCAAATAAGACAAAGTGCTAATAAAATCTTACACAGCTTAGGGAACATTACCATAATAACACTGAATGAAGAATAAGTCATACATTAAAAAAAATACAGTAACACAATGAAAATAATATAACTATAATTAAGTGTTACTTAATTAAAGCCCTTTCCCTTAATGTAATTTGATTATACTCCCATTCCACTAGGGGTCAAATTGATTCCTGATATGACTTGGAAGCAGTGCTAACAGATGGAATTTTGCCTTTGGTTAGGGCTATTTAGAACTTTGTGTTGTGCTGCTTCTGAAGAAGTTCTGAGCAACCTCTTTTGTCATTTGTGTAAATCTGAGCTGGAGTTTTTCAGGCTTCTTAACATCATGTCCTTGCGTGCTCCTGCTCCTTGTGCTCCTGTCCTTGAATGCCTTCTAATGATACGGACGCTCCTACTGAACCAGAAAATGTTTGCTTAAACCCGGGCAGCGGAGTCGTTCTGCTACCTGAGGAATTCTCCCATCAGTAGATGGAGCTGTACCGCGCAACAGGAGCTCATTTAGATCCACATTAGCGCAGGCATTGCCTTATTGCGGGTCAGGGGAGTGCACTGGAAGAGAACCTCCTGTCAGTTGTCCCTGCACGCTGCACTTTGGTCCACAGCACGGAGCGGAGGGGAGAGCATCCCTGAGTGATCCTGACGGGACAGAACCTTCCCATTAGCAGAGCAGAGCCTTATAGCAGGGAGCCCCCAGCATAAAAGTCTGCTTGCTGAGGATGCTTGAGATAACACTGATGAGAGGTTGATCAGAAATCAATAAGCCATTTTTTTTTTTAAGTGCCACCTTTGTCTCCTACTAATCAGCCTGTCGACTACTTCATAACTATGAAATTGAGCATTTTCAGTGCTGGCCCAGGATGTATTGGCTGCAGTCAGAGGTCTGCATGTGCAGATTACTTTTTTATTAGGTGTGCTTTCTGCCTTCTCACCGAAGTAAACAAACCATCACTTGCAGTTGTTGAATTCATTTTATGTTTGTTTTGGTTATTTGGTAATTTATTTTGTATGACTGCTGATGTTTGAGTGGAATAGCTGTCTGAGTTCATTAGTCAAACAACGAGTAGGCTACCTGGAGCTATCTCTCCATGCTTGCTAGCTTTAAAACTTTATTTCTATCAGTTTTCCTAGCAGTTTTCTCAATTTCCAGGTCTTTTAGGCCACACTGCAATCTTCTTTTTTTCGTCGAAGTGTATCACCAGCTCCACAGAAATTGCTTTATGGTGTTGAGACCCGGTGTTATTTTTATTGCTTTAGGAGCTCTCAAAAGGTATGGTGCCCCATAAAGCCAGCAGTGGGACTAATACAGTACATCCTCCATCCTGTAAGCTCTCTTATTTTTATTCTGATCACACAGCAGAACATGTAGAAAAATAGTATTTAATTTGCCTCCTTTATTGCATTTAGGTACTGGACAGATGGATGTTTTAATGATTCCTTCACTCTAAATGCAAAATCCTTTCCCTGTTCACTTTGCTGGATGATTGCTCCATTTAGCACATTCTTGAGCTTGTTTCTTCACTTCCCGGCTAATTAGTTTACAAGGTGCAGTGGCTAGTCTAAACTGTTATGTCAAACTGTCGATATCTAGAATCCGTTTCCCCCTCCCCCCTTACAGAAACATTCAACCAAACATTTAATGGAAAAAAGAAGAATGTGAAGGACAAGTCTCATTCAGCTGTCATTCCTGCTGCTGTGTAAACCAGGTGACAGTGGTCAGTGAAATAACACACCACGTCTCTACAAGTTTTCCTTGACTCTTTCGG